TCCTGCTACATTGCCAAACTCATTTATTATATCTAGTAGTGTTTTGGTGGAGTAGTTTGGGTTTTCTATACAATTATCATGTTATCGGTGAATAATCGCAGTTTTACTTCCTCCTTTGCAACTTAACAAAAGTAAGATAAACAATCCAATTAAAAAATGGGCAAAGAACCTAAATAGACAGTTCTCCAAAGTGGACACACAGAAGGCCAAAAGGCATATGAAAAAATGTTCAAAGTCACTAATCATCTGAGAGATGCAAACCAAAAAGACAATGAGGTATCACCTCACACCTGTCATAATGGCTACCATCAACAAATCAACAAACGACAAGTGCTGGCAAGGAAGTGAAGAAAAGGAAACCCTCGTGCACTGCTGGTAGGAATGCAAACTGGTGCAGCAACTGTGGAAAACAGTAACGGAGTTTCCTCAACAAAATTAAAATGGAACTGCCTTTTGACCCAGCGATCCCACTTCTGGGAATATAACCTAAGAATCCCTAAACATCAATTTGAAAGAATGTTTGCACTCCTATGTTCATAGCCACGTTATTTATAATAGCCAAGATCTGGAAAGAGTCCAAGTGCCCATCAATAGATGAGTGGATAAAAATGCTGTGGCACATTTACACACTGGAATATTATGTGGCTGTAAAAAAGAAGGAAATCTTACCTTTTGTGACATCATGGATGGACCTGGAAATTGTTATGCTAAGTGAAATAAGCCAGTCAGGGAAAAACAAATACCATATGATCTAAATTACATGTGGAATCTAGTGAACAAAATAAACTGACGAATAAAATAGAACCAGAGGCATGGATCCATGGAATAGATTGCCAGCTGTCAGAGGGGAGCGGGATGAGGGACTGGATGAAAGCAGGTGAAGGGATGAGCCAAAGAACATAGATGCATAAACGATGGACACAGACAACAGGGTGGTGATGGCCAGAGGGAAGAGAGGATTGGGGGTGGGTGGAGGGGGGCAATTGCTGGGGGGGGGGGAGCGCGGGGGAGGGGATCTGCAATAATGTCAACAATAAAAATTTTTAAAAATGTGAAAAAAAGGGTAACATGTCTACAACCAAAATGTTTGTTTATCATGACCAACCAAAATTATCCAGGTCTGATGCAATTTCACTGATTGGAGGGTCATCCTGTGCACTAAAGGGTTGCAGGTCCAGTTCCTGGTCAGGGCACATACCTCGGTTGAGAGTTCATTCCCTTGTGGGGCACATATGGGAGGCAACCTGTCAATATTTCTCTCACATAGATGTTTCCCTCTCTCTTCCTATCTTTTTCCTTTCCTCTTTCTCTAAAAATCAATTTAAAAACACATTTCCTCAGGTAAGGATTAAAGAGAAAAGATTCTCACAAACCCATCAACAGTGAGGAATCCTGAATAAAGGACCTGAAAATTCTTGAGAAGGGAACTCAAAGGGCAAGATGGGCACAGTAACCACAGTGCCCTAGGCCACTACCTCACCACAGTTCACTGAGTACCCAGTATGTTTTCAGCTTAAGAAAAGCATGAAACAAATGAGACAAACTCCCCACTCTTACCCAACCCCCAACAAGATCCCAGAATAACTGCCACTGTGAGCTAAGAAAAATATTTTTAAACTGGTACCTTAGTTTATAATGTATATTTTTTTAAGAAATCTCAACGGAGGTACCCTAAGGACAAAGAAGTGTACTTTGAAACCTATGAAAACACTTCACTGTGGTGCATGCCTTCTTGCAACATCTCAGGAAGAGATTAACAAGTGTGGTTGACTGACAGTGCCTAAATCCAAACTATCAAGATATGAGAATCCACCAAGTATTTGATATTTACTGTAATACCTTTAACTATTTTAATTCTCTTTTGAACGATTGGTTATATTAATGGTCCGTTAGATTTGTTGTTGATAACCTCTAGCGTTAAAACAATATTGATCAGCTTTCTCTGACTGGCTTAACAACAAGCAAACAATATTGATGCAGCCCATCAAGGATGAAATTTCCCACAGAGAAGCAAGCCGGGGCTTGGCCACCACTTTCTTTAAAAGCAACTGTGAATGTTTAATACGGCCTCATGGACAATTTTAAAAGATCATATAATTTGCTCAAGAGAAATAGCATTTAACTGATTTAGCACCCCTTTAAATAGCCTTCTGAAATTGCAATAATTATAGATTCATGAGAAATTGTAAAAATGGCACAGAGAGGTCCTGTGTACCCACCCCTCAGCTTCCTCCAGTGGAGGAAGGCATTAGTCTTCCATCACTGTTGTGTATGTCAAGACCAGAAAATCATCAGCAAACTCCAACTGACTAAACTACCAAGAATTTCTATTTAACATTTAAATACCTGAAGTATGGTAGACAGAAAAGTTCTCATGTAAGATTTGATGAATTTTCAGAACGAATACGCCCAGGTAACCAGAACGCTAACAAGAAGCAGATTTGCCAGCATCCAGAATCACCCTTCCTGTCTGCCCCCTCAAGATTTCTAACAGCACACAGGAGCACTGCTTTAATTGTTTTTATAAAACAGAGCCATAGTGCACATTCTCTTTATGTCTGCCTTCTTTCATTCAGCATGATGTTGGTGGGGTTCATACATAGTATTGCATGTAGTAGCATATTGTTCATTCTCACTGCATTACAGTATCCCAGGGTGTGAAAATACCATCATTTATTTAACCAATCCACTACTGGTGGGCATTTGGGTAGTTTTCTGGTTTGAGCTTTATGAATAGTATTTTTAAGAGTATCCAAGTATGCGTCATATGCATTTCTGCTGAGTGTGTAATAGTGGAATTGCTAGGTCACTAGGTATGTGTTTTCTCAGCTTTAGTAAATAGATATGGCCACTTAGATTTTCAAAGTAGCTGAATTAATTTACACTCCCACCAGCAATGTGTGTGAGTTCCATTGCTCCACACTCCACAATTATTCAGTTTACCCATTCTGGTAAATGAGTTAAACAGCAAACAGAATACTGGTAGAATAACCAAAGCAGTAATTTTTCTCTAAATAATCAAGACTCTATCTAAAGTATTTTATAAAGCAAAACAATCTAAAATTCCAAAACCGCTCTTAAAATAACTTATGTGATTAATCAAATCACCCTGAGTTGATGGTGTGGCTGAATTTGCCAAAGATGTCTGATATTATGAATCACCTGGGATGGCTGCTGTAAGTACCCATACAGATTTTCAGACAATCCACCTGTTCTCCTGAAGGAGAATCTCTTTGTAGAGGCCTGGGAATCTTTTCCGAAGAACCCCTCAGAGGTTCTTATTGTCAGGCAAGTATGGAAAACACTGCTATAGGGGAATCTTTTGACATTAACTGTTTTAAATTACTACTTTGGGGATTTCTTTGGAAAGTCCCAGCCCCAGAACCTTTCTGCATGTTGTCAAGTTCTATAATAACTTGAGGCAAATATTTTACTAGTTGGATAAACTGAGGCCAAAGTGCCTTGCCCTAGGTCCTTTAGTAATATCAAAACTATTAGAGAGGGTTATGTTTGATAGACAGCATTATTGATAGTTCCAGTCTTCAAAAGAAACCAGTTTTTCCTACTAACTGTGCTACAAAAAAAGAGAATTTGTAGTTTGAAAGGATTGCACAGTATTATATAGGAGGCAGAACATGAAAAGTGGTTCAATAAAACCTGGTTTCAAATTTAAGTGCAACTAATGCCTATAGAACTCGAAGTCAAAGTATCCTTTCAACCCTGCTTTCTTCTCTGTAAAATGGAGACATCAGTTGTCTTTACTGTTGTTGGCAGCACAAAATAAATAAAGACAAATAAAAGATGAATTACACAGTAGGAAATTAATAAAGTCATTGTTTTCTTTTGTAATATCATTTTCCATTCTCTTTTGTAATTGCTCACCTATGAGCTTAACTAAGGGAATGTTTTGTAAAATGTTCTAATTACCTATATATTGCAACTCAGCTTTTATAAGAGAGGTGAATAATTAAAGGAAAGAAAGAAAGAAAGAAAGAAAGAAAGAAAGAAAGAAAGAAAGAAAGAAAGAAAGAAAGAAAGAAAGAAAGAAAGAAAGAAAGAAAGAAAGAGACTTTAATTCCACATTTTCCTTTACTTTCATCTCTGTTGATGGAAACTGTCAGTGCTATAACTTATGGCTGAAAATGATTACAAACAATAATTTGGAAAAATGTAGTAACAAGGAATAACTTGAGGTAATAGAAAACTATAATTTTAAAATAAAGTTGAACTCTTCCAAAACTAGAGAACATTGCTAAGGGCTATATACAAATGACTTTAAAAAATAGAACTAAAACCACTTGAAGAAAGCCAACATTTCAATTTAGTCTTTTAGATGACTTTCTAACATCAACATATTAAGTAGTCAAATGGCATTTATTCTGATGATCAAAATGCTTCCAGAATCACATTTTATTTGCAAGAATGCCTGTGAAAACAAAATCGCTTTCATAAAAATAGATCTAATTCTATGTACTGAAAAGAAGCCTACCATATTTGGCTTATATGGCTATGAAAGGCCCATTTAACACTATCTGCCAATTACTACATATAAAAAGTAATTAAGAAGGTTTACATTATAAGAAGCCTCCTTCAGCTCTGTGTGGTTTGGTCCTTCTAATCTTAAAGCCGGGGAAAACTCTGGAAAACATTAGCACTTATTTTAGGAAATAGAATAGTTAGACTTCTATTTAGAAGAAAATTTGTAAATAGTAATTTAATGTCATATGTGTATTAAAATTCATCATATTGACCGTAAGAAAGCTATAATTAACAAATATTCAGGTCAATGATATAAATCTGGGGCAAATCCTTCAACTGTTATCTTGTGCCTCAGTTTCTTTCTAAGTCAAAAGTGGGTAATGTCACTACATACTTCATAGGGCTGCTGTGAATCTAGATGGGAAATGCTTAGAAGAGTGCTTGGCGCCATACATGCTATGTGGGCACTGAGCGGTGGTTACTAGAGCAGTCCTAGTAGCATTGAACAGGACAGAACTTACGGGGCACTGTCACACCATAGTGCTGTGTATCACTGATCAGCAGCTTTCGTTTCAGTTCATTCAAACCTACACCTACAGGACCTGAAAAACAGAATAATATAAATTCATTACTAAACAAAATAGCATATAAACATTTCTATACTTAACACACATCCACAGGACATAGAACGTGGTTCTTCTTTACATGCATCCCAAATAAAGAGCTTATCTTTAGTTGAGTTGTACATAAGAAAAAGCTAGTTGTTTTGTTGCTGTTTTTTACTTTGAAGATTGTATTCCCCACCTTTCCATTAAAAGATTAGAAATATTTGTTTTAAATGAAACATATGCAAGAATATCTGAGTATATTACCCAGTAATGGTATCCAGAAGAGACTGAAAAATAATATGTTCACCTAAAAAAAACCCAGAATTTTTCAAACTATTATCTACCATCTCGATAGTGATAATTTCAATTTTTAATGTCTTTAGATCTAATTAAATAAAATCTTTGAATCTTAATTTTATTTTAGATGCAAATCTAATGATGCCTTTTAAAGTTGCAAAACTATCAGCCGCATTTACATTTGTCAAGATCTTCTCCTACACTATGTATTTTCAGTTGGTCCTTAAACATTTGAAAACTTGTGTAGAGCTTACATATTTAAACCAATCAATGCATACATACTAAACACCTATAATGGACCAGGTATATCGTAAAAGCTGTGGAGAATCAAAGATGATAAAAGAACTGTTTTTCTTTTTAAATCCTCACCTGAGGATATTTTCCCATTGATTTTTAGAGAGAGTGGAAGAGAGAGAGGGAAAGACAGAGAGGCGTATCGATGTGAGAGAAACACATAGATTGGTTGCCTCCTGAACAAGCCCAGCCAGGGCCAGGGCCAGGGAGGAGCCTGAAACTAAGGTATGTGTCCTTGACTGGAATTGAACCCAGGACCCTTCGGTCTATAGGCCAATGCTCTATCCACTTATCCAAACCAGCTAGGGCAGGGGTGGGCAACCCCTGGCACGCGTGCCAAACATGGCACGCCAGTAACTTTTGCTGGCACACGAAACCCTCTCTTATAATCTTCCATTTACAATTTTTTTCTTAATATAGACTTTTTTATTTTTCAGATAAATTTAGTGTAGGTGCATCTTAGATAAATAAATAATTTTACATAACAAGTTATCTTAAAGACCATAGACATGGATTGACGAGAGAGGGGAAGGGCAATTTCTATGCCTCTGCCTTAACTCTCCCTGCCTTCCTAGATCCGACCAGTATTTTGGTTTCATCCACATACGCTTGTGAATCTTTGTTCTCAGTGATGAATTTTGTTAAGTCTCATAATAGGAGTAGCCTGACGGATGAAAGTAGTAGCTCATGCATATCTCTGAAGGTCACGAAATATAAACCTGATGTAAAATCTCTGTCATCAGTGATGCAGCAGCAAAAGTCCCACTGATATTATCAAACGGAGTCATAAAGTTTTCTGTTGGACTATCAGTGTACATGTATACATTAAAAAATAAATGTATTTTTCATCATCATATACTGTATTTTTGTCGCTCGAATGAATTTTATTATTTCTTCAAGGTTCTTCACATACGTAAACCTTAAGAGAAATCAAGTAGGCGTAACATGTTCTCAAAAAATTAGGGTTGGCACGCAGAAGAATTTTGAGTCAGAGATTTTGCTGGTTTTGGCACGCACTCACAAAAAGGTTGCCCACCCCTGAGCTAGGGCAAAACTCTGTTTTCAAAGAAAGAAACTGAGTTAAAGAAGTAACAGGAAATTATTAAGAAAGAGACTAGGGCCCAAAACAAAGAGCAGCTTCAAATCTGAGTCAAATCAAAAGTCAGAAGAGCACAAGCCCCAAATGGCCAACTTCTTACAACTCTGTCATGAGGGTCTATTTAATGATAGCGTCTTGTATTGGGCAGAATACAAGCTGTAGAGCCAGATTTCCCTGAGTTAGATTCCCACTTTTGTTATTTCCTTACCTGGTGATACTGAATGTTGTGATCTGAATGTGTGTGTCACCCTCCAAATTCACATGTGGAATCCTAATGCTCAATGTGATGGTGCATAAAGGTTGGGTCTTAGGAGGTGATTAAGTCATGAGGGTAGAGCCCTCATGAATGGGATTAGTGCTCTTATAAAAGAGATGTCACAGAGCTCCCTAGCTCCTTCAGCCATGATGAAAAAATGAGATATTTGTGACCTGGAAGAGGGTCACCCCAGCATGCTGGCATCGTGATCTCCAGAACTGAAAAATAAATCTGTGGTATGTTGTTATAGAAGCTGTAACGAACTAAGACAATGGACAAGTAAAAGTCTTTGAGCCTGATCAGACTTCATTCTAATTCTAAAAGTAACTATGCTCCCTTTCTGGGAGGGATAAATGAAAAATTATGTATAGTGTCTGGCACAGAATCCAGGTATTCAAGTGTTCATGCTCTTGCCTATTTCCTCTTGTAAGCTTTGAAAAGAATAAGGTTTCATGCCCGATAATGAAGAACATATATGTGTCAGAGAAGATGAAGGTAGGTATTCCAGGTAGAGGGAAAAGTGTGAGCAATGATAAAGAGGCTAGAGTTGGGGACTGTGCCTTGCTAGCTCTAATGCTATTTCTAGGCACCCTCCCCCTGTATCAAAGAATGCCCTCTGATGGCCATCCACTACCACCTTCTATCTTTCCATAAATTGTTTTCAAATACCCATTCTCTGACAACTTCCCCTTCTTCTTGTCTAAAACAGCACTTCTCAATTCTCTCTTCTCATAGTAAATGCTCTGCAATATCCCATTTGTATCCTAAATGGACTTCACAGCTAATATAACTTACAAGTACATATAATTCCTCCCTCCAAATTAATATAATTCCCTAACTGTAATAGATGAAAGATAAAAAGGTAATTTATGACAAAAAAATCTGTATTTCAATATGTAAATGTTCAGGCACAACTGTATAGAAAACATAGTGAAGTCAGATGTTTGTACCTACTTATCCTATATAATAAAAGCCTAATATGCTAAGTGTCCAGTCGTCTGGTTGTCGTTCAACCAATCAAAGCGTAATATGCTAATGATATGCTAAGGCCCCTCAACTGCTCGCTATGACATGCACTGCCCACCAGGGGGCAGGTAGTCAATCGGTCTACCAGTTGCTATGACGTGCAATATAAAGAAGTCAAATCAAGACTGGTAGGAGGGGCAGAGACATAGAATGGGCTGGTCCCACACCTACTTGTGGCAGTTAAAAATCAGGAGGACATCTCACCTGCAGACATTCTCCCCACCCACCTCCCACCCCCGAGGGACCAGGGGTCCCAGCCACACACTAGGCTCCCCAGCCCAGGGTTCCAATGCCAGAAAGATAAGTCCCATAACTTTTGGCTTAAAAATCAGTGCGGATTATGGCTGAGAGACAGAGGGCTGCTGGAGTCCCAGGTGTTCCTCTTAAAGGGCCCATGCACTGACTTCCTCAGACTCACTTGCTCTGAGCTCCAATGCTGGGACAGCAGCTCCAAAGGCACCAGGGACATAGCAGGGAGGAACGGAATTGTCTGACTTTGGGGCAAGGGCTAGAGGGGCAGCTCTCTCCCAGACAGAAGGGCTGGAAGAAGCCACCATTCCTTTGTTGAGCCCTCCGATCCAGCTTGCCATTTCTGAGTTTCCATCAACTTGGCTAACATGGTTTGCCCTACTCCAGTGATTTCCCATCCAGCATTCAAACCCACTGGAGGTGCTTCCAGTGACGTTTCCATATGAATGGCCTGTCTTGGCTCATGCTGCAGACTTTCCTAAAACCTCTCAAAGGCTCACAAACCCAAACAAGCAGCATCTGGCCTTGGCATGCCCTATAACTCTTGCTAAGCATCCCCAAGCCTGGCACTGAGGCAGCCACCTCAATTTGTAGCTTAGCCTCTACCAGGCACCTCCAAGCCCAGCCAAGTGGCAACCATCTCCAGATCACTTTATAGCTCACACCAAGTGGTCCTGGGTAGGGCACAGGCAGCGACTGACCTAGGCCTGTACCAAAGCCCCTCCCAAGAGGCCTCAGCACCCTGGTGGCCAGCTTCAGACCACACCAGAGCACCACCCAACCACCTCCAGAAGCAATATTACCAAAGGGCAGATTCAGCAGGCACCAGAGCCCTGCTAAAGTGAATCCTGCTCCATAGGGTGGCCCCTGCAAAAAAACTCCTCCACCATAGTCACTGACAGTTCTCACAACCAATGAGTCTGAGGGTCAATCCCTCCCATTGGTACCAACAGCAATCAAGGCTCAACTACAACAGGAGGCTACAAACAACTTACACAAGGGATACAACTGGACTACTTGGCTCAGGTGACCTAGACACTATGCCAATAGATCCCACAGGATACACACCACATTAGGCTACTCTACAAGACTGGGAGACATAGCAGCTTTACCTAATATATATTATAAAAAACAAAAGAAACACACCCCATGAGAAAGAACAGAAAAAAAATCCAGAAAAGAACTAAACAAAATGGAGACAAGCAATCTCCCAGATGTAGAGTTCAAAACACTGGTAACAAGGATGATCAGTGGTCTCAGCAAGAACCTAAAGAGATAGGACACATAAAAATGGAGACAGAAAACAACAACAACAAAAGAACCAGTCAGAAATGAAGAATACAATAACTGAAATGAAGAATACATTACCAGGAGTTAATAGTAGAATAGAGGAATCAGAGGACTGAATCAGCAATTTGAAAGACACGGTAGCAGAAAATAAAAAATCAGAACAGCAAGAAAAAAGAATTTAAAAAAATGAGGATAGTTTAAGGGGCCTCTGGGACAACATCAAGTGTACCAATATTTGCATCACAGGGGTACCAGAAGGAGAACAGAAAGAGGAAAGAATGGGAAACCTATTTGAACAAATAATAATGGAACTCTTCCCTAAAATGGTGAAGGAAATAGACATATAAGTCCAGGAAGCGCAGAGAGTCCCAAACGAGATGAATCAAAAAGACCCACACCAAGACATATCAAATGCAAAAAGTTAAAGGCAAAGAGAGAATCTTAAAAGCAGCAAGAGAAAAGCAGTTAGTTATCTACAAGGGA